TCTGTCACGGTTTTTCATCTCAAGACCTACAAAAGCTACAGGGCTGAAACTTTGGGAACTTAACCTGCATGGACGTACGGGTCCCAATCCTCAAAATGGGCGCTCTTGTCACGTACGAACCTCTGAAAGTTTTTTGCGGGTAAATCGCTAACTCGAGAACCAGAAAAGCTAGAAAGCTGAAATTTTAAGGGGACGTCCCCTGTCCATGCAGGTCTCAATAAGCTCAAACTCAGCCCTCGGGTATATGTGGTGCCCACATACAGGCCCAAAATTTTTTTAGGGTAAGTCGTTAACTCGAGAATTTGAAAAGCTAGAATGTAATTTTAAGAGGATATCCCCCACCCACCTAAGTCCCACTGAGCTCAAACCCAGACTCCGGGTATGCGTAGTAACCACGTACGAACCAGTGAAAATTTTTTTCGGGTAAGTTTATAACTCGAGAACCTAAGAAGCTAGAAGACTGGAATTTTAAGGGAATATTCCCCATTTACGTAGGTATTAATGAGCTTATATCTAGCTCCGGGTGTAAGTCATTCCCAAGTATGGGCCAGTGAAAGATTTTTTCGTATAAGTTGTTAATTCGGGGACCTGAGAAACAAGAAGACTGGAATTATGAAGGGATGTTTCCTGACACTCCTGGCGGTCAGTCTGAAATTCTTTTAGCTAGAAGTATCTGCCGGAAAAAACAGTGCCGTTAGCGACAAAAATCTGCGGGGAACTATGCAAGAAACGCATCTTCGCACGGGCAGCCCGTGCATTGGCCAATGCAAGGTCCCAGGTGTCCCGTTCAAAGTAGCTTAACTTCCCTCAGTTTCAGGCTCTGTATGAAAAATCTATAGAGGCCTCTTTCCCAGTTTCAGTTCCTATCTCCAATCGGGATCTCAGCTTCTTTACAGTAAATAGTTCAATCCCTCTTCTCCCTTACAACTCCTCAGCCCTAAGTCATTACTCCCGACCCAAATCGCTTCTCTTTTCTTTTTTTTTTTCTCCGAGCCTCCAGTCACTGCAGTTTGTCTCCCGACCTTGCTAAGCCAAATTTTAGAAGCTGCCTTTGCAAATCCTATTCATTTGCACACTGTCCGTCCCCATATCGCTAGTACTACGTCCTCTTTTTATGCATTTTTTGCAACAATGCAATGCGAAAAACGCATATTGACGAGAGGTTGTCTGTGTGTGTGTGTTTGTGTGTGTGTGTGTGTCTGTGTGTGCGCTGGGCTTCTGTACCGATTTTTCATCTTGAGACCGGCAAAAGCTACAGGGT